TTATTATTATTAAAAATAATAAAATAGTTCCCATACCCAATATGAGCACTGTGTCACGCACACATGAAAGAAAATACTACATTAAGCTTTGCAAGTCATTGCTTCAGAATGTGATTAGGACAGTGGGGTCTCCTGGCTGTCAAATGGAATCAGCCATGACTAGGAATGGAGCAGAAATTCAATTCAGAATGCATTTAAGACTGAATCAATCCAAATTGCAGTTTTCAAAACAACACCGCTATTCTCTGAACACAGCTATTCTCTGAAATTTGCACTGTATCCAAATTTTGTGATGCACCAACCAATGTTTACCAAAAATGCATATGTTAGGGGAAATTGCTCGCAAAAAAAGGTGTACATTAGTCAAAACTGCATATAAAAATGTGTTTATCAGGATAAATTCACACTAAGATGCTGATGAATTTTCATGAGGATTTTTTTTTCAAGATTGCAGACTACTGTGAAATGTGGAGGGCTAAATTTAAGACTGGAAAAGTAAGAATCCGAGAGAACTGAAATTGACAGATCCTTCAGTTTCTAGTCACAAGAGGTACAAATAGTGTCTTCACATTTAGAGGCAATGCCTAAGAATGAGACTTGAGGATGTGCAAAGCCTTCGTTAACATTTCTGCAGAAATTGGCCCTTCACTATAAATAAATAGCATCACAAGGTTGGGACATTTATCTGCCAAAAGGGGTGTGATTTTTATAGTGCATCCTACTATTAAAATGTTTCATACCCAGACTGCCAAGTGTCCATCTCATATGGTTCTGAACAGGATTTTTGATCAGGATTCTTTTTAACCTTCCCTGTTTAAAACTATAATGGACTTCATTACACTGCTTTCTTCCTGTCTTCCTTCAGAGCCATAATTGTGCAAAAACTTTCTTTCTTTCTTTCTTTCTTTCTTTCTTTCTTTCTTTCTTTCTTTAGGACACTCATCTCTATTAGAAATCATGGATTGTCACTGTAGCTACAGTGTATCTTGGATCAACCAGTTGACTTTGGGCTGCCACTATCGTTTACTCCACTTAATTTATTTTTATTTTGCTTTGTAACCATCTCAACTGAGGCTTTTGCCTGGCCATGTTAGAGACAGAATACTGGTCTATATAAACCTGCCATGACAATTCTCATGATCACCCTGGAATCTTCTCTCTGCCTGTTCCATATTATAATTGTGTGTTGTCTGTGCCAACCTCATCAGGACTAATGTTCCGCCAAGGTAATACACAAAAATGTCCCAATGTGACTGTGGTACATGATGGTGCTAATGCTCAGTTGTTGCTGTCCAGCAATGGCCTTTGGAGAACCCAGGAGACTTGATCTTCAGGTTTACCTTCCATTATTCTGGATACTTGTTAGAAAACGTTCAGGACTATTGAAGGTGAAGAATCAGACCAAAGCAGTGTGACTTGTCATTAAAGCTCAGGTGAGAGGCATCTGTGGAGAACTCTGCCAAAACGGCATTGTTGGGACTCAAGCAATGTACACATTAGCGGCTTGAAGTGCGGAGAGATCTCCCCCACCCGTTGCATTTCATAAAATCATAAAATTGTAGAGTTGGAAGCAGAGGCGCCATCTTCTGAAGAACATTGAGGGGACCTGACGCAACATCCTGAAGTCGTACATATAAACTATTTTGGACCTTAAGCTGCCTCTGTGCGGTGGCTGGAACTGGGAGCAACTTCCACTACTTGGGTATCTCACCTCAGATCCCCAATGATTTACACCAGTTTAATTTAGGATTATACTTATCCTATACTTGCTCTGTAACCATTTGCTGCCCTTTTATGACACCCATAATTGGTTACCTGAGGCAGCTTCCTCGCTCTGCCGGGTGACAGGGCCGGCCCTTGCCAGAGAACAGATGTCACTAATGAAGATTCATGACTGGGATTCCACCACCCCCGCTTCCTGAATGTTTGTACCTCTGCAATGTTGTACCTTGCTACGTTGCCCTGAAGGCTCAGAAAGAAATCTTGCTTGTCTAGCATGCATTAAGCAAACAGCAGCAAGCGTTTGCAAGCAGAGAGGGAGGGGACTGAAGTGTGCCTTTTGTTTATTTTAAGGATGTATAGTTTGCAGCTAATGCCACCATAAATAGAAGTAACAGCACAACACAATTTGCCAGGTTCCGTGAAAACGGTTCCCTCGCAGCATGTAGTCAGCAAAATATGCTTGTTAGCAAAGAGAAGGTTGGCTGTGTCAAACCTGTGTACCTTTAGGGAGGTCCTTTGCCTTTTCTGTTTCTTAGGGGCTGAGTAACCATAGGCTCTGTCTCCTACGTTACCAGGAAAAGGGGGGGGGTGTTGAATTTTGTGAAGGATGACCTATAAATGAACTCTTTTCTCAAACCATTTAAATTAAGTAACAAGCATTAAAGTACATACCTCGCTTTCCATGATTTATTGAGTTACTCTGAATGTACACTGGCAAGCATTTTCTATATACTGTAATAGGTTGCTTAAAACTCATTGTGTTAATTTTCACAGGTAGAACCATCTAGGGCATTGTTTCTCAAACCTGGGTCTCTGGCTGTTATTGGACTACAACTCCCATCATCCCTGCCCACTGGTCCTGCAAGCTAGGGATGATGGGAGTTGTAGTCCAGCCACAGCTGGAGACCCAAGTTTGAGAAACACTGGCCTAAGGGGCTGTTCACTTACCATGTTTCTGTGGCATCAGGGCAGGGGTGGTACTATACCCTCAATTACCTAGGAAGGAACATAGGAAGTTTCCTGAACCCAAGTCAGACCGTTGGTCCATTGGGGATGTCTACACCGCTGGTCTTCAGCAAGTGGGTCGGGATCTAGGAGTGGACCATGACATGATCCAAGGTGGGTCACAACAGGAACACTGCCACCATGCAAATATCGTATTCTTCGCCCTATAGGACGCACTTTTTCCCCTCCAAAAATGAAGGGGAATGTGTGTGCGTCCTAAGGGGTGAATGCAGGCTTTCGCTGAAGCCTGGAGAGTGAGAGGGGTCGGTGCGCACCGACCCCTCTTGCTCTCCAGGCTTCAGGAAGCTATCCGCAACCCTTGGGAGCCCGCGGGAGTTCCCGCGGGGCTCCCTAGGCTTGCGGGCAGCAGCCTGCACCCCGAAGCCTGGGGTGCTCAGCGCACCCCGGGCTTCAGGCAGATATCCGCAAGCCTGGAGAGCCTGGCAGGAGTTCCCTGTTCTGGAGGCTTCCCCCGCCCCAGCCCCGTGCCTGGGGGGGAAATAATTTTTTTTTCTTTATTCCCCTCCCCCCCAAAAAAACTAGGTGCGCCCTATGGGCCGGTGCACCCTATAGGGCGAAAAATACGGTATATGGTAACAAGTTACGAATTGGTTCCCCAAGCTCAGGGCAGCTAACACCAATAAAATCACAATAAAAAACATAATAGGGGAAAAGAAAAGGAAAGGAAAGGAAAAAGGAAAAAAACCAATTTAAAATACAGGCTAAAATGCAATTTAAAATGCAGCCTCATTTTAAAAGTAGCCGATAAATCAAGACCATAAGGGGAGGGAAACATATGGGTCAGACTGAGTCCAAACCAAAGGCCAGGCGGAACAGCTCTTTTTTGCAGGCCCTGCGGAAAGATGTCAAGTCCCGCAGGGCCCTAGTGTCTTGTGACAGAGAGTTCCACCAAGTTGGGACCAGTACTGAAAAGGCCCTGACCCAAGTTGAGACCAATCTAGCCACTTTGTGACCTGGGACCTCCAAAATGTTGTCATTTGTGGACCTTAAGGTCCTCCGTGGGGTATACCAGGAGAGGCGGCCCCGTAGGTACGTGGGTCCTAGGCCTGAAGATTTGCCCCCAGGCCTGAAGTTCCCCATCCCTGCTCTTTAAAACAAGGTTCCTGCTGACTATGTTATTTTGCCCTTGCTTTTTCTTATTCACTTTTTCTGTGTTCATGATGCTGTTAACATAACAAACTGCGAAACAGTGCCTTTAAAAGTTAATACTTGAGGCCGGCCCTACTATTGGACAGAATGGTGCAGCTTGAAATGTTCTAATTTGAAATGCCACACCCTAGCAAGGTCAAACAAACTGCAGTCAGACTGATCAGCTCTTTCGGAGGGAGGGAGCGCATGGAGGGGTGAGATTTAAGCCATCCCCGGCTCCCTCTTCTGCCAAGCAGCTGATGGGCTTGATTTGCAGCTTATTGGACCTGGCCATCCAACTATTATTTAATTGAGTTGAAAGCACCAAGCATAGCAATTGCTTGTCCCTGTTAATTTACTTTACAATCCCAATTATAATTTTCATTGCCAGATAAATCAAAGATGGTTTATCCTGTATCTAAAATTATTTCAGTTCTTATAATGCTCTGTTTTGGAGGACGGCAGTGGGCGTGTAATGAGTTGTTCTCCAGGAACGTGAACTTTACATGGTAGTGGAAAGCAGTGTAATTTCAAGCAGGCTAATCAGCATGGTAAAAGAGAGAATTTAGATACAAAGCAAACATTTATATGATTTGAAGCCTTTATACAAAGCTTAATAATTATCCTATATGGTGCCTTGGTCTTCATGCTTATGCACTATAGATAAGATGCCTTTGGCAGGGACGTGGGTGGCGCTGTGGGTTAAACCACAGAGCCTAGGACTTGCCAATCAGAAGGTCGGTGGTTCGAATCCCCGTGACAGGGTGAGCTCCTGTTCCTCAGTCCCTGCTCCTGCCAACCTAGCAGTTCGAAAGCACGTCAAAGTGCAAGTAGATAAATAAGTACCGCTCCGGCGGGAAGGTAAACGGCGTTTCCATGCGCTGCTCTGGTTCGCCAGAAGCGGCTTAGTCATGCTGGCCACATGACCCGGAAGCTGTACGCCGGCTCCCTCGGCCATTAAAGCGAGATGAGCACCGCAACCCCAGAGTCGGCCACGACTGGACCTAATGGTCAGGGGGCCCTTTACCTTTACCTATGGTGCCTTGGTCTTCATGCTTATGCACTATAGACAAGATGCCTTTGTCCCCAATTCAAAGATTTCTTGGGGGGGGGGTTAGGTCCAGACTTAGTGGTGTTTAGAGTAGACCCATTGAAATCAATGGGACTTAAGTTGACTAGCTTAAGTCCCATTGGTTTTAACAGGTCTGTTCTAAGCACCGCTACGTCTGGATCCAACTCTTGGAGGAGGGACACAAGAAGAGCAACTTTATTTGGACAAGATAAGCAAGAACAGGAGCTTCTCCCAGACCTTCTTGTCTCAGCTGCCTGACATATCCCCCAAAGTAGGGGGATATTTTGAACAGCTCAGAAGCTGGCATAAGAGGAAGGGTTGTAGCTCAGCCGCGGGACATCTGTTCTGCATGCAGAAGGTTCCAGGTTCATAACCATGTAGGAGCAAACCATGTAGGCTGGGAGCATCTCCATGAAGGGCTGGGAACTGAAATACTGGAGACTTGCTTTCAGTCTATGTAAACAGTTCCAGTGGTCCGACTCAGCGCAAGTCAGCTTCCTATGTAAATATCTCCCAGGAACCCCTCCTTCATTTCCCCCTGTTGAGATGAAAACTGTTTTTAAAAAGTGGAGAGAGAAACTTCCACCTCACTTCAACATGCTGTTAGTGAGAACCCGGCAAGGCGTGAGATATGTGGTTAATCGGCTGTTGCGTTTCACATGCACCCAGCCTTACGGTTGCATTCAGACAGCACTTTGTTCTGTCTGAACCCCAGAACAAGAATAGGGATAATACGCTGAACTACAGTGGTACCTCGGGTTACTTACGCTTCAGGTTACAGACTCCACTAACCCTGAACTAGTGCTTTGCTTCAGAATGAGAACAGAAATCGTGCTCCAGCGGTGTGGCGGCAGTGGGAGACCCCATTAGCTAAAGTGGTGCTTCAGGTTAAGAACAGTTTCAGGTTAAGAACGGACCTCATGAGCGAATTAAGTACTTAACCCGAGGTACCACTGTACAACTCCCACCCAGTGATGTAGTGTGGGAGGGCCGGGAGGACTGTGGCCCAAGGCACAAATTTCTAAGGAGGCCCAACCAGGTGCCCCCATGACAGGCTCACTCATTGAGGCAAGAGGCATGGGGAGGCAAGCTGTGGCCAGTCTGGGCTTTGGGGCTGGGGCAGCAGCGTCTCCTCTTTCTCCTCATGGCCTGCGGAGGGATGCCTACATGCACCTCGCCCCTGGGCTGGCCAAGAGGGAGGGGAAGGGTAAGGGCACCACAGCTACCGCCCTCTGAGGAGAGAAGAAGGAAGAGGAAGTGGGAAAGCACCGCTAGAGCCACATGTGTTGCCCAAAGCACCTTGCTGCAAGGAGGGGGGGCGGGGTGACTCAATGGTGCTCCTGGCTTTGTGTTTATCTGCCTTATCTCTGCTCCCAGGTTGGGGCTAGTTTGCAAGTTGAGATTCCCTTGATTAGATGCTGGTCAGTGAAGACACTGACCACCGTGCGGTCCACCAAGGAGGACACAACACTTGCCCCGCCCCGGGCACCAGCAACCCATGCTATGCCCTTGCTCCCATCATCTCTCCTCACTGGCCACGCCAGCTGAGGCTAATGGGAATTAGAGTGAGTCCAGCAACGTGGGGGGGGGGGGGGAGAGCACGGGTTCTGCATCCCCTTCCCTGCCATAGTCATTATCTTCCCAGAGCAATTTGCCCTACTCAAAGGTATATTATGAGTATATTCCAGCTGAAGTGAGCCCTGAATGAAATGAGCCCTTATCGCTGTGCCCTGAATGACTTTCTCACAAAGCTTCACAAGACATCTTCTACTGCTGACCCTGTGACTCTCTGACTTCACTCTGCAGGCACGAAACGCTTTGCATGTGCAGGATTGAGCAGCCCAGAGGGGTAGAAATGCAGCCCAGCTTCATTCTCAAATACTGCAGGTGAGGCAACCCTGTCAGGTTGAGTTGGAACACGTAGCAAATACGCTTAAAACAAACTGGCGCCCCACACTCATGAATAAAATGTGCCTTATCCATGCAAATAGTCATTTCAGTATTTATTCACATGGCTGAGCCTAACATTGACATTCACAGCTGTTGAGAATTTTGGAATCTGAATTAACAGGAGCATGGATTGAATGTGAAATGGACTGATTCAGTGTCCAGTGATTCCTTTACTGCAGTGGGGACGAAACCTGCCCTCCAGGGCCGTCTTACCCATAGGCGCTTGGGGTGTGGGGCACCCAGGTGCCGGTGTGATGGCCTGGGATTCGGACTCGGAGGCTGAACCTGAGGGATCCCAGCCTGCACAGGATTCCCCGCCTCCAGAACCAGCTGAGCCGGGGCTGGGGCCTGAGCCTGAAGGGTCCTCACCTGTGCTGGATCCTCAGGTGCAGGCACCAGCTGAGTCTGCTCTGGCTCCTGAGGTGATGGAGGACCCATTGCCTGCAGGTGCTCCACTCTCAGCCCCGTCAGAGGAAGCTGAGGTTGCCTCTGGGTCCGGTAACCCTCCAGCCTCTCCTGAGCTGCAGAGGCTCAGGGAAGAGAGGCGGAGGGAACTAAGTTCCCGCAGGAGGAGTGCTCGCCTCCAGGCCAGGAGAGGCGAGTCACCTGTGGACCGGGACCGCCCTATGCCTCAGAGGAGATAAAAGCCAGCCAGCCCCAGTCCGAGGTTGCGGGAGCAATGTTGTTGCTAGCCTGTTCCTGCCTGCACTCTGTCCTGCTCTTCTGCCAGAGTTCCTGACCTCACTCGATTCCCTGCCTTGGACCCAGCTACAGCTTTGATGGACTGCCTCCCTACTGCACCCTCGACCTCAGACTGGACTCGGACCTTGCCTCTCGGTTAGCCCCGGGACCAGCACAGTTAACCCTCCAGCCTCTCCTGAGCTGCAGATGCTCAGGGCAGAGAGGCGGAGAGAACTAAGTTCTCACAGGAGGAGTGCTCTCCTCCAGGCCAGGAGAGGCGAGTCACATGCGGACCAGGGCCGCCCTATGCCTCGGGGCAGATAAAAGCCAGCCAGCCCCAGTTCCAGGTTGTGGGAGCAACATTGTTGGTAACCTGTTCCTGCCGGCACCCTGACCTGCTCTCCTGCCAGAGTTCCTGACCTCACCCGACTCCTTGCCTTGGACCCAGCTACAGCTTTGACGGACAGCCTCCACACCGCACCCTCGACCTCGAACTGGACTCAGACCACACCGCACGGTAACCCCCGGGACTAGTATACGACAGCTGCTGCCAAGCGGCGCAGAGCCTGTTGGAGTGCCACAGGCTTTTCCTGGGATTGGCGGGCCATCAAGAGGCCCACCCGGCACATGCATGGTGCTCACACGAGGCGCGCAGCTTCCCTCCCAAGCCTCTGCAGGGATTGCTCTCCTCCTTCCATCCACAGCGGCATGGAGATAGTTGTGTGCCCCCCCAAAAAAAGCTCAACAACTTTGGCCTGTCCCACCATTGCGGGCGCCGGGCAGTTTTTTGCACCCCGGTGCCACATATGCTACCCTTCCACCTCATTTGGATCCCTTTAGATAAGTGGGGGGGGTCAGTCAGTCAATCAGTGCCTCAAAAACAAGTAGCTCTGACTATGAGGCAAGGCTAGAGGCAGCCAGGGGTGGACTTGGGCAATATAGCGCCCTGTGCAAAGACAAAATTTGGCTCCCCCGCCCCCACCATCAATGGTGGTGCAAGCCCGTAAGGAGCAGATTTGCTACTTTAAGACTGAGAAAGAGCGAGTTCAGCTGAGGAAGACAAGAGCCAAGCCATCTCTCTCCCCCCAAACCATCCTATCCTACCCTCTCCTTTTTCCCAGCCTGGATTTTCCTCCCAGGGAAACAAACAAACAAAACCAAAAAAACCGAGAGGTATCACGGGTGGCGCTGTGGATTAAACCACAGAGCCTAGGACTTGCCGATCAGAAGGTCGGTGGTTTGAATCCCTGTGACGGGGTGAGCTCCTGTTGCTCAGTCCCTGCTCCTGCCAACCTAGCAGTTCGAAAGCACGTCAAAGTGCAAGTAGATAAATAGGTACCGCTCCGGCGGGAAGGTAAACGGTGTTTCCGTGCGCTGCTCTGGTTCGCCAGAAGCGGCTTAGTCATGCTGGCCACTTGACCCGGAAGCTGTACGCCGGCTCCCTCAGCCAGTAAAGCGAGATGAGCGCTGCAACCCCAGAGTCGGTCACGACTGGACCTAATGGTCAGGGGTCCCTTTACCTTTACCCTTATCTCTCAGGATTCCCTGCCCACTACCCTACCAGATGGGGGCTGGAAGCCCTGATGCCTCTCAAGGTGAGACTGGACCCTCTCCAATCAGCCCAGAAGTCGTTTTGCGGGGGGGGGAGGCTCACCCTCTCTCCCTCCCTCCTTGCAATCTGCTGTTCAAAGGTTCCAAAGAAAGGGGACATTCCAAGGGAGGGTCCGGTCAGTGCACTGTGCAGGAGAGCCCAGGGGCAAGCAGGAGGGCTGGCTGCTTACTGCTCCCCTCTCCTCCCCTCAGCTGCGCTCCCTTTGGCTTGGCACCCTCTGTGGCTGCACTGGTCACAGTGTCCTGGATCTGCTGCTGAGGCGGCCCCTGTACACAACCAGGTGGAACCCAGTGCCCCCTTGGTTCTACTGAACTGATGGCGGTGAGAGCAAACCAGCAACACCCTCCGTTAGCAGAATCCACATTAGGAATATAGGAAACTGCCTTAGGACTATTTGTCCTTGCCTGTTCTGACCAGGGTCTCAGACAGGGGCCTTTCACAATGCCTTCTTCTTGGCCTTTGTAACCAGAGAAGCCTGAGGTTAAACCCTGGGACTTTTTGCATGCAAGGCATGTACCCTGCTGCTGGTCTATTGCTACCAAGCTAGGGCCCCTGATTCAATACCCTGGCACCTTGCAGGTCCCTCGCTCCCAAGATATTAATGGCGAGGGTTTTTAGCTAGTACAAAACCATGCTGTGCTCTGCACAGATAACTGTGCCACAGATGCAGCAAAATAGGTGGAAAGTTACAGAGGGCTATTTGCACATCGTAATGTGTTGTGGCATCCTCTCCCCACACCCCATTAGCTGTGGCATTGTTCTGTGCTGGTAATAAATCCCCTAGTAATTGGTGTCATATTTTTTCGTGCGGGTATTTCTTCTTACGTTCATTAAATATGGATGTGCTGCATCTGAGCCAGCCCAGTTTCATTTGTGTCAACAGCACAAACTCCATCCAGTCTTTAAAAACC